TGTCTCTAATAAGAAAGGAACACTGACTTCTATTCTTTGGAATTGTGTTCCCCGGGGAACCATCCTCAAACTTTGTACTTGAATAAACTCTCTTTAAACTAGATTACAACCCTTTTGATTGTTTATGTTGACAACTGGAAGCTCCATGACTCCATGTTTGGAACTTTCCTGGATGCTGCCATACATGCCTCTTCCTTTGACTTTAAGCTGTAAACCTTTAGCTAAAAAACATAACCATGAGTATCACACCTGGCAGTATATTCTGGGACTCAATCTAGCAAATTACCAAAACCAATGGTGGTCTTAGGGGCTTCTGAACTTGCAGTTGCTGTCAGAGGTGAGGGTGGTCTTCTGAGCTTCCCTTCTAATTTCACAAAATAATACATGCTATAACATGTATGAACTTCAAACATTATGCTAAGTGAAAGAAGCCAATCACAAAGACCACACATCGTACAAGTCCACTTACATGGAATGTCCAGAATAGACACCTCTATACAGAAGGTAGATGCGGACTGCCTAGGGCAATGGGAGGTGACTGATAAAGGGGATGGAGTTTCTTTTAGGTTGACAAAAATGTTCTAAAATTGATTGTGATGACGGTTGCACAGCTCTCTGCATGTACTAGAAACCACTGAACTGTATATTGTAAATCATTGAATGGTATGGTATGCGAATTATAGCTCAATAAAACTTTTACCAAAAAAGTGGGGGTGTGGAATTTCAAGGTCCTGGAAAGGGGATTGTGCTGTGTTCACTGGTGTGTCCCCAGTTCCTGGAACAGTTCCTCCAACCCCTGCTCATTGGAGCACAATGAATGCCAAGGAATAAATACATCAAGTGACTCCTGAAACAGGAGCAGGCCCTTAAGGGCTCCCCGTGTGCAATTTCCTGGACCACTGCCCTTTGCAGACAAGAGCTGTTTTAGAATAGTGCCTGCACCGCCACCTGCTTTGGAAAGAATCCAGCCAAAAAACTTTGCTGGATCAGGTCAAGGCCTTTCACCTGGGTGTGAGGGCTGTACCAAGGAGGATGGGTGGAGATTGACTCACTCTGTCCTAGCTTCAGAGCAGCCCCTCCAGCTTCCCAAGGGTTAACCCAAATCATCAAAGGAATTCCTTCAGGCAAAAGGTTTGAGTCTGCAGCTCTGAGATCTCAAGGATGTAAGGAGGGACCCAGGCCTGTCTCCTTCAGGAAGGGCCTCAAGCTCAGGGAAGAGGTACCGGATGCCCCAGCAAAGCTCAGGCAGGAAGAACCAGGCTCAAGAACTGTCTCTCTCCTTCCTTTCTGGGGCTTTCTGCTCCCTCCCTGTTTAAAAATGTAGGCATTGGTTTATTCAGGTATGGTAAAGCTAACATGTTAGGACATGAAAGCCATTGAAAAGATGGCTTGTTACGATTCCCACCCAAGAGGAGGGGCATGCTACGCCAGGGACCAGACAGGCAGGACCACACAGGAGGTGCCAGGGTAGGTCAGGAGGCAAAGTGAACAGATAAAACATGGACAAGGGCCCTTGTGGTTTCTGCAGGAAGGAACCAGCGAGGCCGGGTAACTAGGCTTAGGACTGGCTAGTTTAAATCATTTCAGCGGGCTCTGGGACATAGAGGTTGTCCCTAGTTGTCTGGTACCTGGTCCTGGGGCAAGTAGGTCAGGGCAACAGTGGCCTGAGCATGAGAGGGGACGGTGGGCTCTGGGAAAAGCAGGCTGGCAGGTGAGCCCGTTACTGTCCCTATGAACTGGCTAGGCCTGGGAGGGGCAGTCTCTCCAGGGTCAGAAATTCAGAAAATAGAAAGGCTTATTAGTACACACTCCTCCCCTGAGGCTCTCTGATCCTTCCCCAGATGACTTGGGTCCCAGCTAGGAGGTGACCTGCCTTCCCCCCTTCATCCCCTTCTGAACTCAAAATATAATAATCTTGAGCCTCAGTCCCTTGAGCCTCATCCCCCAGTCTGCTTGGCTTGCCAAACACCATTTTCTCTTGTCTGGGCCAGGAGGGAGAGTAGCTGAGCACTGCACAGCCCCCCAGGACTGACAGTTCCTGCAAGGAGCCAGGGAGGCTGGAAAAGGGACAGAGAGCCCTTGAGTTTGTGAAGGCAGCCTGGGTCCTCACAGCCAATGCTCCAAGGGGACACATCATTTGTCTTGTCGTAGTGGGGGCTGTGCCCAATGGGGATAAGTAATAGCCTGTTTGCTGGTGTTTAGGGTACACTGGTCCCAGGTGTTGCCTCCTACCCTGTACTACAGAATTTTATCATGGAATCTTGTTCCTTTCCCTGGAGATTTCTGTCTCCATAGAAATGCAGTCCTGGTCTCACTTGGCTACTGAGCTGTGGCATAAACTTCAGGGACATTGATATTGCATTTCTTACCCCTCCCCTGACAGCAGGTTTTAATAAGGAGAGGAGGCCAGAGGATGACACACTTGCGAGAGAAGTGGGGACGGGCCAGAGGGTTCGTCCATGACTAGAGGGGCTCACGCATGTTAATCACCTATTATGCGCCCAGAGCTGTCCAGGGCCTGAGCTGCAACACCCGACTCAATCTTCAGCACAATTCTATGCTCTAGGTGTAATCAGTTCCATTTCAAAGATGAGGATGTGGAGGCTCAAGGGAGATAATGTCCCTTAAGCAAGGTCACAGCCAGGAAGTGCTGAAGTCAGGATTCCTACCCAGAAGCCCCTACTCTTCCTATGGTGCCCCTTCTGGGGGCAGGGTGGGCAGGAAGAATCAGCTCGTGATTCACAGCCTTGCCCTAGAAAAGCAGCAATGTTGAGCAGCATGTGGAGGGGTCCTGACAGGCCACATAGCTGAAGCTCAGCCCAAGGCTTGAGTTCATCATTCAAGCAGCCAAGACCCACCACCCTCCAGAAGGCTCAGTAAGTTATCCATCTGGCTCTCCGCAACGGCTAGGCAAGCTGGGAAAACCTCCAAGGTGTGCAGTGGGCCTGCAATCTTGAGAGCTTAAACTGCAACTGCACCCCCTTCCTGTAACAGCAGGCCTAGGGGCCAGGAGTGGGGGTGCTGGGGCCCCACAGCAGCCCCACAGGGAAAGGAGGCACCTTGGATGCAGCCAGATGGGAAGGGGCATCTGGTGTCTCAGCATAGTGCCCTTCCCAATGCTGAGAACAGCCCAGGGGAAAATCACAGCCCCATCGCAACCCCATAGACAGCTCCTGCCTAGGGTCTAGAGACTTGGCGCAAAAAGTCACCCTACTCCCCAGACCTCCCCGCCTCTGCCACCCACACCTCTGGGCCCCTGGCAGGGACTGTGCTCTGGTTAGGAAAGCTGGCAGCCTGTGTGCTTCCACCCCCACCCTCTCCCTGTTCCCAGCTTCCAGGTCACAACACAGGGGCAGGAGGAGGCGGCCAATCTGGGGTGGAGCATTAGAGGGAAAGAGGGCATGGATCACAGGAATATAAAGGGCCTGGGAGGCCCCGGCCAGAGACCCTTTACTGTGCTGCTCTGCACCTGCCCTGCACCATGGTAATGTCTGCTGGCCAAGTCTGGGCCCCCTTCAGCTGTGTTCTCCAGGAGCTTGGGGATGGGGGTTAATACCGAGGGCCCCTCCCCAGGCCCATTAAGGGCATGAAGGAGTGAGGCCAGGGCAGCCTCCTCTGTCATTCTGATTGCCAGGACAGCTGCCAGGGCTTCCTGTCCCACTTGGGGAGGTGGGGATGAGGGGCATTCCTTGTTAAGAGAGGGTTGAGGGGCTCAGGAGCTCTAGGAGTGCATATTACCGTGTTTCCCCGAAAATAAGACAGGGTCTTATATTTCTTTTTCCTCAAGAAGACACCCTAGGGCTTATTTTCAGGGGATATGTTATTTTCCCCTCAAAGCCTCAGCTTGCAGCACGCACAGGATGGCCGGGACCTGACAGGGGGAGCCGACCTTGTTGGTGGGGCTGCCCGCACCTTTCTGGTCACCTCTGGGATAGTAGCTGTCATGATGGGGCAGATGAGAAGGGCTGCTCATCTTCTTTACCACTCCAGGATGAAATGCACAGGTTGTGCAGATGCGCTGTGTAGCCATGCCCATCACTAGGTCTTATTTTCGGGGTAGGGCTTGCATTGTGCAAATGCTTAGAAATCCTGCTAGGGCTTATTTTATGGGTAGGTCTTATTTTCAGTGAAACACGGTATGTTTGTGGGCTTCACAGTCTGTAAATTGTTATGTGCCATCGTGTTGTAGGCACAAATTCTCCATGCGTTAGGAGTGTGCATGTGTGTGCATGTGTGTGTGCATGTGAATCCCAGGGCTGGCATTCCTGTATGCAACTGTGCTCGTCATTCATTTAACATGTATTATTAGGCATCTACTAAGTGTCAGGCTCTGTTCTAGGTGCTTGTGATACATTAATAGACAAAATAACGAGCAATGAGCCCAACAGTAATTTATGGTGCTTATACTGAAGGTGGTGTCACTGGGAAGGGACTCAGACAATAAATACAAGTACATCTTTAAGTTAGAAAATGCAGTGGGGAGAAAGTAGAGCATGACGATGGATTTGGGTTGCAATTTTGAATAGGGGTGTCAGAGTAGGATCCATCTAGAAGATAAATTTTGAGCTGATGCCTAAAGAAGGCAACCGGGCTGGCCACGTGGATATCTGGAGGAAGAGTCTTCCAGGCAAACAACAGCATGTCTGGTATTTGGGGGAACAGGGAGGAGGAGGAAGCCTGTGGGAGAGGTCAGCGAGGTTAGGGACCAATGGCTCCACGCCATCTTCTCGTGTCCATCTCAGGTTGTGCCTCCCCGTCCATTTTTACCAGGGCACCCTGTGTGCATCACTGCGCATCCAGGTGTACAGTAGGATGTCCCTTATGGCGCTTGTGCACCTGTGTATGTCCCAGAGGCAAACACGCCCCTAGATCTGAGCGCCCCAACACTCCAGCTTGCCGGCTTGGCTGCGCGTCCTTAAGACCGGAGCCTGGGCGTTCCATGCATGCGAGGTCCTGCGTCACGTGACCGCCCGCGGTTCTGTCTGCCCCACCCCCTCTAGACGCCCGTTCTGCGCTGCGCGTGCGCACTGGCCATAGTGTGCCTCGCGTCCCTGCTGCGGTGGCCTGAGGGCGCTCACGGAGTGGAGCTGCAAGCGTCCCAGCCCCGCAGGTCCAGGGCGGCTGGTTGGCTGGATAACTTAGGCCAGATCTACAAAAGCGTGGGGAAGCTCTTCGGCGGCAGGTAGGCCCGCGGGGGGCGCGCGGGAGGGAGGAAGGAAGGGAGTGGGTGGGGGAGTCCATGAACGCCACCGGGCGCCCCCGCGCGCATCACGGCCCGAGCTGCAAAGACGTGTTCCCCAGCTCGAAGAAATCTAAAAACAAGAAAACCGAGAACGCCACGAACCTCTCCCCACCGAACGCCTCGAACCTCTCGCTATCCAACGCCACGAACCTCTCCCCACCGAACGCCTCGAACCTCTCGCTATCCAACGCCACGAACCTCTCCCCACCGAACGCCACGAACCTCTCCCAATCCAAGGCCTCTATCCTCTTCCTATCCAACGCCTCGATCCTCTCCCCACCGAACGCCACGAATCCTCCACCGCAGGCCACCGCGAAATGCCAGGCACGGAACGCCATGGAACCCCTGCCACCCACCCCCTTCCGGGGCCCCAGGTAGGAAAGCCCGGGCACTGCTGGCACCGAGTCAGGGGCCTCGGAACTCGGGGCAGCTGGGGTGGGAGCGAGAGGAAGCTCCCAGGGGTGGAGGCTGGGGAGACACCAGCGCCCCAGAGTCTTCCTTCTCCCTGACCTCCAGACGCCTGACCCGGCGGTCTCGCTGCCCACCAACCCCTTTATATTGTGAAAGGGGCCTCAATTCCTCCCATCCCCTCAATGAAAACAATAAAGAGAAACAAAAGCTCTGTTGCTTCTCGACTTATGTGGGCCTCCTGGCAGGGTGGTACCTGTCCTTAAAGGAGGACAGGGGACCCAGGAGTTCCTGCTGTGGGAGAAAAAGACCTCAGCTACAGAGTCCTCCCTGTGAGCCACCCACCCTCCCCCACCTCACCTGCATGCACCCCTACCAGGGTGGGGGTCTAACCTGGAGGGAGAACAGGGGTGAGAGAAGCGGGTTCCGCAACCTCAAAGAAGGGGCTGCAGTCAGACCCACACCCCACCCTGCCCAGGTTTCTCCACAGACCAGCATAGAATGCCAGCCTGTCCGTGTTCCCGTCACTGCTGGCACAGGGATGCACAGAAGGGCATGTCTGCCTTCAGTGTGCAGAGTACAGGGAGCCTCCTTTGCCTCCTGGGCCCTGTGAGCCCCTCTGTTGGTGAGCACAGCAGGGGAAGGGGAGACAGCCAGGGCCTGTCCCCAAAAAGTGGGCTTGAGGGTGGCACTCTCCTCTGAGGGTCCCCACAGCCATCAGAGAGGCCTGGGCAGAGCCAGAGGCCCCTGCCATGATCCAGCCCTCACACCCAGCTGTGTGTCCGGAGCTGGGTCGTAATCCCTGCCCTGGGAAGTGTCTACACTTCTCCCCATTCAGAATCATCCCCTTAGCTGCCAGAGACAGTGCCAGGACATCACACTCTGTCACACAAACTCAAACTCTGTTCTCCTGCTGAAACCAGCTCCCCATCCAGGCATCCCTTGGATTTAAGAGTCAACCTGAGCCAAGCAGCTGCAGCCTCTAGAAGCCCTTTGCTTTTTAGGGTCTGGTTTTGACCTGGTTCCCAGTCATTCGTACACACCAGATGGAGCCTGAACTTGGGGGGAAACGTGATTGTGGTGCCACTGCCATTACCAAAGCCACAGCCCCATCCCTTCACATGGGAGAGGCAGGAGAAGCCACTCTGAGAACCAGAAAGGTTCTAATTCTCTCACGTCTCCCCTTTATACACACACCCCACCCCGTCCCCACTTATTTGGGGTGCCTGAGAAGGGCCAGGGCGAGTCAGGCCTGGGGACCCACTGGGACTCTCAGGACTGGCCTCCTGGGGACAGGATCTGGGTCCTCACACTCCCAGAGCCAGAGTGTGCAGTCCACACACAGGACTCATGCAGGTGGCCAGATCGCTCAGGTACAGAAGGAGAGTCCTCGGCCCCCTCTGGGCCACTTGTCCCTCTGTGAAGTGGGGAGGATGAGCTGAGTGACGAATGAGTTTGCAGACATTCTGGATCATTTATAACAGCCCCCTCAGCCCCTTCCCTTCCTCCCTGCTCTCCCCCTGGTGCATCTGGCCGACTCGTGCCCCCAGGGGCCCACAGAGACTCAGAGAGAGGCTGTGACTTTGACTTGCTTTATTTAGCCTGTGTGGGAGCAGGGGCAAGCTCTGGCCAGAGCCAAGGGTGTGGAGGGACGAGCTGGGCTGGCAGTGCTCATGGAGTCGTAGGAGGCAGGAGGTGGCATTACAGGTCCATCGGGCTGAGTTCCCTATAAGGACAGGACAGAATGTGGCAGTGGGAACACAGGCCTCGTGCCCTGGGGAAACCTCAGGCCAGTGCTGGGCCCCTGTTCTCTCTCCTCCAACCCCCCCCCCTTCCAGGCCCTGATTCCACCCCGAATTTCAGCCCCAGGGAGCTGGGCAGACAAGGCAGGGATCAGACCCACCTGGGGGCAGCTGCGTGGGGGGAGTCCCACTGCAAGGAGTCCAGCGTGTCTTCTTTGTCTCTTTTCCCATACCTGGGAGAGAAGAGACAGTTGGGGCAAGCACTGTGCCCAGGTGCCAGTTCACCTGCCTCATACCTACCCTTAGAGACCATTCTGCCTGGGGCACTAGAGCCCAGGCCTGATCTGTAGAGATGCTCCATTTTCCCCAAGAGCAGGTGTGGAAGGGGTTGGGGACAGGCATGGGGATGGGGTTGTGGCCAGGAATGTGAAGTGGGTCCAGGGTCTCAGGGGCCAGGATCCCTTTCCCACTCCCTCGCACACACCTTGGCCTGGTCAGCATGTTGATGTATCTGCGGAGATCAGCCACGTACTGGGCCATCTGCTCTGGCGTGGCATCATCCCCTGGGTATACTGGCTCCATCGGGGCTCCTTGGGCGCCCAGCAGTGGCTGCAGCAACAGAGCCACACAGGTGGACAGGAGCAGCAGGGAGATGCAGCGGTGCGTGGCAGCCATCTGAGGAGCAGGGGGCGGGCAGCTGGAGGTGGAATAGAGTCTGGGCTGCAGGTCCTCTTGCCCCTTAGCCCATCACCCCTCCCTCCAAGCCTGGGGACAAGGGGCAGGGCAAATGGCCACTCAGAGATGATCACCCCACCTCCAGACCCTGCCCTGGAGGGCACAGGCAGCTGCTCCTTGTGAGCAGCAGCAACCAGAGGTCAGTCATGGCCTCGGCAAGGTACAGAAGTGCAGCAGAGAAGAGGGGACATGAGCCCTGGCGACAGGAGGCCGAAGTGGAATGGTGGCTCAAGGGAAGGGGCTGGTAGGAAGTAGGGACGCTCCAGCTCACCCAAAGGGCAGGGGCACAGAGAACTTGTGAAGCAAAGGATGGAAATCCATGGCCTGGTGGGTCTGGCCCTCCCCCCAGGGGTAGAGACGCAGTATGGGTCCTGCTGACCATGTCCCCTACACAGGCAAGGACAGGGGCACACACAGAGATCCCAATCACTCACAAGGTCGCTGTCACACACTCCAGCTCACAGCCACACACACAGGTGCACACCTGCTCACAGTCAGCAGACGCCCAGTGTGACAGAGTTGTCCAGATCTGGACCCAGGGGGACCAGGGCCCAAGCAGGAGCTTAGGCCCTCTCGGGCCCCCAGCCCTGCAAAGCACCAACCCCTTCCCTCCAGCCTAGGCCTCAGCCCTCGGAGCCCTCCAGAGCCCAGGGCGTGCAGAGGCCACTCACCCTGGGTCCGAGAGAGTGGGCACTGGACCAAGCGGGCACCTGCCTGGGGCCAGATGGGTCCCCCTGCTCTCCGCTGCGCCCCTTTATAGTCCTCAGCCCCCCACTGAGTCCCCGCCTCCTGTCAGCCTCTGTCACTCCCCAGCCCTCACCCCTACCTCCCACTGTCTCCCTGGCACCTGCAATGCCAGCATGGGGGCCAGGCACGGGAGGGGAACAGGGCGGTACTGTGGGTGCCAGGCTAGCAGCATAATGGATAAAACTGGGTCACAATAAAAGTCTCAAGTCTCCTGTGAGTCTCCATTCCAGAAGCCCCTTCCCTTTGGGCGCCAGAGCAGGCTTGATTCTAGAAGGCCTGGATTCTGGGACTTCAGGACAACTGAAAGGTTTCGGTCACAGGTCACAGGCCTCGGAAGGAACAGCCCTTCCTGCTGCCCAAGGACCACCCCAAATCGGCAAAAGGATTCCCTCCGGTCAGAGACTGAAGCTGCAGCTCAAGGCTGCAGTGGGGGGAGGGTGGAAACTCAGGCCTTCCTGTCCAGTTTGCAACTAGAGCAAGGTGGGGACAGGCAAGGGGCCTCGGGTCCTTAGGCAACGTGGGAAGGTGTGGGTCCTAGGCACAGAGAAACCCATTTGGCAGACGTACAGGACGCAGAATGAGAATCCATGCCTGGTTTCAGGGGAATGGGGCTGGAGTGCCAATTTCTGGTAGCCATTTCCCTTCCTTTCTTGGAGCCCCTGCTCCAGGGGAGTAATAAAAACCATTATCATCTGTAAAGCTCAAAGTGCTCTTGCTTAATCACATCACTAAATCCCTACCGCAACCCATTTTACCGATTCAGAAACTGAAAATCTGCTCAAAGATGTTAAGTAACTGGCCCCAGACCACACAGCTAGCCAATGGGAGACCCGGTTTTGAAAGAAAGTCTGATTCCAAAGTCTAACTCCAAAACCTGGACTTCTTTTTCTGTGTGAGGCTGTCATGGTATTGCCATAATTTCCCATTTTGGAGCTGAGAAACCTGAGGCTCACAGAGGTGAAGACACTCACTCAAAATTTCACAGCGACCTAGGTCTCCAATTCCAGCTTAGATGCCCCACTCCCACCCCAGGCCCACCAGAAGCCCCTGAGTCTCCTCTGCCCAGTGTCCCTTCCCATCCCCCAATCTCCTCCCCAGCTCAGGCCAAGAAGCAGTCACTGGCTTTGTCTGAATGACACGTTGTTGCCTGAGTAGGGAACAAAGGACCACCCACCCCTGAGGTTCTGCTGTCCCACATCAGGACACCAGGAAATGTGTGCAGGGCGTCGGGGGCGCAGTTCTTGGGCAGGAGAAGACTATGTGACACCCAGGGATCTGGCATGGTGGGCTTAGCAGTCAGACAGGCCTGGGCCCCGATCCTGGCTTCACCATCCCCTGGCTGTGGGAGCCTGGGAAAGTAATTCCTTTAGCCTCTCTGAGCCTTGCTTCTCCTCTCTGTGAAATGGGCTCATCATGCCCATCTCAGGATGGGGAGAATAAGGGAAGCCTCAGTAAGCATCTGTGTTTTGCCTTGTCCTCTCTCTTCTGATTTCTGGCAACAAGAACAATAATGCTTCACGACAACAACTTACATTCCCCAAAGCAAGTATGAAGATCGTTCTGTCTCAGCAAGCCCAGGTCCTTTTCTGGGCCAAGATTTTCCACTTTGCAAAGCAAGAGCGGGGAACTGACGGCTGGGCCTAGGCAGGCATCTGGTATGGCCGGTAGAGGCAGTGGGACTCCACCAGGGGGCGCCAGGCTCCAGCCCTAGTTCCAAGGGTCTGGGATCCCTGGGGACCACAGCGTGGGGGCCTGTTCTGGCTATCACCCATTAGGACCCAACCCCACCAGACATGATGGATCCAGGGATTAACTCAGGTGCCTGGGCCATTTATAGTTCTGTCCTGTCGCAGAGATAAACCAGCTTTGTCAGTGCCCAGGAAATAACAGGTACTCCACAAATGTCAACCAAACCTACAGCTTTCATTTTTCTCCTTTGCAAACAACTGGTTCCCCTCAGTGTGGTGACAGTCAAGGAGGAAGTGGTAGTGGATTTGCTTTCTAAACGGCATGGCCATGTCCAGAACAGAACAGTCCATGTGTCCCCACAGTGCCCGCCACAGAGCCCTGCTTAGAGAAGGCACCGATTACTAACCTGCAGATGCACTGAATGGAGATGACAGTGGTCCCTCTGTCTCCCCCCAACTCCATGCCCTCTGGGACAGAGAGGATGGCTTTTGGCAGTGTTGGGGATGAATGAGTGTACTGATACTGAGACCATGAGAGGAACACCCCAGAAATGCCTGGGGTCACAGGGCGAATGAAAGCAGGAGAATGGGGGCCCCCACATACATGGCTGCAAGGACAGGAGTCTGGCCAGCACCATGTCCCCCAACCCCCTTCCCCTAAGTTGTCTAATCCCAATCCCTGCTGCTTTCAGTTAATTGGCAATCAGCAGTCATTTGTGGCACATCTGTCCTGGGCCTCATACCAGGTAGCCCCTTGGGGGCCTAGGGGGAGGAGTTGAGGATAGCTCTGCAAGGAGGTCACAGCAGAGTGAGGAGCTGGGGCATGGCTGCTTTGGAAAGTGAGGACACTGAAGAAAGGGGAGGGAGTGGTCAGCAGCCATCCCTCACCCTGGCTTTATTTTATTTTATTTTATTTTATTTTTAGAGACAGGGTCTTGCTCTGTCACCCAGGCTGGAGTGCAGTTGCCCAATCACAGCTCACTGCAGCTTTGAACTCCTAGGCTCCTAGCTTTGATCCTCCTGCCTTAGTCTCCCAAGTAGCTGGGACTACAGGTGCATGCCAGCATGTCCAGCTAATTTTAAAATGTTTTTGTAAAGATGGGGTCTTACTATGTTGCCCAGGTTAGTCTCAAATTCCTGGCCTCAAGAGATCCTCCTACCTCAGCCTCCCAAAGTGCTGGGATCACAGGCATGAGCCACCGCACTGGGCCTCACCTTGGAATTTAGAAACTGGGTCACAGGTCATCTTATGAGTGCCCCTTACTACCTTATGACAGAGGCAGGAATTACTTTCCCACTCACCAGATGAGAAAACTGAGGTCCAACGAGATAGCTGAAGTTGCCTAAGGTCATGTGTGAGTCAGGCAGGGTTAGGATTAAACTCAGGTCCTTATGGTTCCAGGTCCTACACTTTATCCCTGTTCTAGGCCACATCTGGCCCCATTCTTATGCCAATATTTTATTCCCAAGTTGGGTGGCGGCAGCAGGGCTAGACTTGGAGGGGCTGCCCCTAGATGCCAGGACCTATCCCTTGGGCTGAGGATAGCTATGATACTCCCACACATACCTTGAGCCCCTTGTCCCATCCTCTCAGAGCCAACTCAGGCCCAGTTGGGAGTTTAGGACACTAATTTGGAGCCTGGGCCTGCCTCCACTTCCCTCCACCCTGGAGGCTCATCTGTATCCAGGGCTTCCTAAAGGCATAAGAGTATTCAATATTTCTCCCTTCTTGCCCCCAGTGCCTACAAAAGCAAATCCCATAATTCCCACTCCAAATTTTCCTAAAGAGGAAGGTTTCTTGCTGAGATAGAGACTAAATCAATCTCCGTAATTAAGTGTTGCAGGGGGTGAACAGGGAGGAAAGAAACCAAAGGTGCTGGGAATGGCAAGGGAGGAATTTCCCCTTGGGATAGTGGGAGGGGAGAGGTGCCAGGTCGGAGGGGACAAGAATTGAGGAGAGTGAAGGAGAGGAAGGGGATTTTAATGAATATTGCTGTTGACCTGGGGTTGGATATGTGATGTCTTTTGAGGAATGGGAGTAACAGGTGGAATTCCTTTTCATTGCTTTTGGTTATGGAGCTGTTTTTTTCTCGAATGCAATGTCACTTGGAGCCTGAGCCATGTGGACTCGGGTTTTACAAGGGTTACACGTGTGCCAAGCTGTGTCGGGCCGACCTGGCCCATAGACTCAGCTCTACCACTCACTAGCTGGGCCATTCGCTAGTTGCGTGACCTTTTGCAACTTACACAGTCTCTCTCAGCTGTAAAGCAGTTAACTTTCTTTTTATTTAAGGTATCAGTATCCCTGTTTAACCCGTGCAGAAACAAACACAGTGAAATGAAATGACTAGGTCAAAGTCACAGCCAATTAATGGCAGAGACAGGACTCCAATCTGGGTCTTCTGTCTCTGAGGCCGCTGCACCAACTGCGGGGGCCCCGCCGTTGAGATGGCTCCTGCTGTTGGCTAGACCTGTGTGAGAGCTCAGATCCAGGCTGCAAGTAAACTCAGGACAGGGCAAGAAAGTTCTGGGGGAAATGAGGCTTGAGCTGGACTTGACACCAACACACAGACACATCCTCCCGTCCCCAGCCACACAAGGAACCAAAGGTCCAGGCAGCGCTGTGTGCTCCCATCTTACTTGTCCTGGTGCAGGAGAGAAGGAAAGAGGCAAAATGGGATGGGAAGTGGGTCTTAGAGAATGAGTGGGGAGAGGGAGCCAAAGAAACTAACTCCATCCGCAGGAAGGCTTCTGGGAGGAGCCGACCACCACCCTGAAGGTGTTTCCCAGCCGAAGAGAGGGAAAGGGCTCTGCAGGCAGGGAGAATGGAGGGCGAAGGCACAGAGCATTAGAATTGATGGAGTTGGTGACTTATACAGGCCCTGGGCCCTTCCTGCCCTACCTCCAGGGTGACTGGAGGGCAGCACTGGGGAAGGGGGGTATCAGAGCCCCTTGGCCCCCTAGGGCAGATTGTGTCCAAGCCAGGACCTCCCCTGCAGCTACGGCAGAGCCAGCTTCAGAGAATTCTCTCCTCCCAGAGCCACCTAACTGCAAATAGTCCTGCACAGGGACAGCACCCAGCCTTCCTGCCCTTCTTACCCTCTCTGGGTATGGGGCTTTGGCCTCAGGCTGATTCTCCCCCTCATCTCCCAGCCCCCTACCTCAGACTTGGGCAGGTCCTACTGAACTGGAGGCCCAAGAGAGAGCCCCCAGACAGAGGAAGCTGTGTCTGAAGGGGGGAAGACACAAGCCCTTTCTTCAGGGGGTCCCCAGACCTAGATGGGAGACAGGACACAAAGAACTGTCAGTGAACAGAGCAGGGGCCATGAGAGCTGGGCAGCCAGAGAGGGAGGAAGCGCACGGCGTGTCAGGGGCGCAGCCTGCAGGCAGGCTCCGGGATAGGTGCGCAGTGGTGAGGGACCGGAGTTGGACTCCTATTTAAACACACACAGCGCCTTTAGACTTCATCGTCTAATCCAGGGGAAGGGGAACACAAGAGGGTGTCCCTATGGCCTTGTCCTAGGCAAGCACATTCAGTGACTCATCCCCTGGGTGTGAATTCAGCCAGAAGCGGGAGGGCGGTTGCTGGAGGAAAGGGCAGCCTCTACACTCCCACTGCTCCTCTATTCTGGGCAGTGGGGACAGTAGGAATGGCCTGCCCGTCCCACCAGCACACACCCACCCACCTGGCCCCCACACGGCTCTTCTTGCACAGCCCCATCTTGGATCCCACTCTACCTCTGGCACTACAGCCCTGGGCTGTAATACAGCTCCTGCGGGAACCGCCCTGGGGTGTTGGCGCCTGCCCCCCCAACGCTTTGCTGGGTTGGGAAGGGCAGCGCGGCCCCAACTACTCCCCTAGGCTGTCTGGCACGATCCCTTCCACCTCCCCATCCTCGAGCCACTCTTCTTGCTCCTCCCTGCCCCTCTTTCAAGAACTCCCGTCCAGCCCACCGCTAGAGCTCCTTCCGCAGAGGCCGCCCGTCAGGGCGCTGTCCAGCCCCAGCCCGGGCCGTAGCACCTTCTCCGAGCTCCGGGCAGAGGGAGGGGGCGGGCCACCCTCCCAGCCTTGTCCAGGGCGCCTTTGTCCAAGTCTGAGTCTTCTCTTCTCCAGCCTTCGCACTTCCACCCTCCACTCCCACCAGATGCCACCTCCACGAAAGAGAAAGGAAAGGAAATACAAGGACACACTCCGTTTCCGTGAAATTTGCTCTTTATTTTGGGACCAGGGAAGGACCACCCACAGCCCTCCAGCCCAGGGGACGGGGCCCCACCCCAGCCCTGCCGCGACAGTGGGCAGGGAGGTGAATCCAGGTTCCGGGGTCAGGAGCAAATATGCAAATGAGGCCGTTGTAATTAGCATATCTCCCAGGAGGCCTTGGGGGTCATCACCACAGGTCGGCGCCCTCCGACCTGCAGGAGAGAAAGGAAAGGATCTGGATCTGGGGAGGCGAGACGAGAAGTCGTGAGGGACGGTGCCAGGGTGGGGCTTCCGTGGGGCCGCAGGACCAGGCCGCGCTCCAGGACGCAGGGTGTGGTGAGGCGGGCGCTTTTACCGCGACCTGACGGGGCGGTCCTCGCCGTCGGGGAAGAGCAGTTTGGAGACTACAGGGTCCGGGCTGTCGCGTTTCCCATACCTGGGGACGGGGTCACAAATGGGCGTGGTCATGTGTGGGCACGTGACCTGCGCGGCCGGACGGAGGGCTTGAGCCCCGCATGCCCAAGTCCTCACCCCCGCGCATGCGCTCACCGCTGCCGGGTGACCAGGTTGAGGTAGTGGCGCAGGGACGTGTAGTAGCGATTCAGCTCCTCCGGGGAGGCGTCTTCGCCAGGAGCCTCGGGTTTGATGGGATAGGCGTCGACCAACGCCCCCAGGCAGGCGAGCAGGGCCACAAACACTGTGGCCATGGCGGGCCACGGCCTACGCACCGTCACCATCTGGGAAGGGGACATTGGAGCGCAGATCGTGCTGAGCCTCGACTCTATGGCGGGAGGCTACAGTTACCGTCGGGCCCAGGCTCCCGCAGCTTGGAGTGCTGGTGGTCTGGCGCTGGTGTCGGGACCAAGGCTCAGCCACCAACTTGCTGTGTGTTCTCAGGCACCAGGCTCTCTGTAGCCTGTTTCTTCCTCTACACTGCCTGCCTGCCCACCCCAGCCCCTCCACCACTCCTGCCCAGAGGTAGATGGAGGAAGAGGGCTATGCTGGCCACGGGGCTCCCGAGCCTCTCCTTCCCACGTCTGCTGGCTCCCTTCCACTCCAGCTTCCCGCCACTCAGCCCCAGCGTCCACCATCCCAGCCTCAGTTTCCCCACGAAACAGCCTAAGTCCCCAGCACCAGACCATTCCTGAGCCCCAGCCACTCACAGGAATAGCTCCCGAAGCGAGATGAACAGAAGGTGGAAGGCGGTGGAAGGCCAGAGGGGTCCCCCGGAGGCTGGACTGCTGCAGGTCAGGCTGGGGCCTCCTCTGCTCAGAGCTTTCCCTGCGGGCTTATATCCCGGCCTGGAAAGGGAGGGGAGTCCCAGGGGGAGGGGGAGCCAGCAGGGGGAGGGCCCTTCCTCCTCCCTTCCTCCGCCCCCGCCCAGCCAGTGCGTGCCTACACCCAGCCAGTGTGTGCGTGATGTCTGGCAGTAGCTGAGGGGGCAGCTGCCATGCTCAGATTCAGGGTCCCACTGCGTGATGTCTGGCAGTAGCTGAGGGGGCAGCTGCCATGCTCAGATTCAGGGTCCCACTGGATGGGGTGCCTAGCCTGAACCCCGTGTTCACCCCACGGCCCCCCAGTGGGGGCTCTAGCCTCCTGAGGAAGTGAAGCATTTGGAGCTAGACTCCTGGGGCAGCCTGTAGGACCAGAGCTGAGATTCCATTTCTCCAGCCTGTCCATGAGTGGCAGTGGGGCACAGAGGGAGGAAACGTGGGACATGTGGCCACTCTTTCCAAAAGGCAATCCTTTTGAGCCTCTGCTCGGTAATACTTCAGGGAAGGGCTGAGCAGTGACAGGACCTGTGGCGGGCAGACTTTCTACTGGAGGCAGGGATGGCACATATGGACTTGGCTCCTGGCCTTCAGTTTATGGTGTCCTGGGGTAGGACCTCTCGGGACACTCATTATGTCCTCTGTCCATGAGAGTCAGGAGGAGGCAGAAGCCTGTGACCTCCCTCGAAGCAGCTGAGTCGGCCATTGGTGCATCCAGCCTGGCACACACAGACCTCTGTCCCGCCAGGCCTGGCACAGAGCCACCTCCCAAGGCAGAGTGCCCCCGCCCCCATCCAGGGGTCATTCAGGGCACTGGTGTCTTATGGGGCTGAGTGATGCCAAGGCTGCCCAAGCACGTGCCACTACTCTCTAGGGCCAAGACCCTCACCCAGAGCCTTTGAAGGAGAGAGGAAAGGGCTAGTGTTTACTAAGCACCTACTATGCAATGGGTAGTGCAAAATCTCAGGCATAACTGCAATGAGCTGGGGTTTCCCCCTTTTCCGAATGAGGAAACTGAATCTCTGAGAGGTGACAGAGCAGCCATGGTCACCCATGATTCAAAGAGGAAAAAGAGGCCGGGCGCTGTGGCTCACGCCTGTAATCCTAGCTCTTGGGAGGCCGAGGCGGGCGGATTGCTCAAGGTCAGGAGTTCAAAACCAGCCCTGAGCAAGAGCGAGACCCCGTCTCTACTATAAATAGAAAGAAATTAATTGGCCAACTGATATATATATAAAAAATTAGCCGGGCATGGTGGCGCATGCCTGTAGTCCCAGCTACTCGGGAGGCTGAGGCAGAAGGATCACTCAAGCCCAGGAGTTTGAGGTTGCTGTGAGCTAGGCTGACGCCACGGCACTCACTCTAGCCTGGACAACAAAGCGAGACTCTGTCTCAAAAAAAAAAAACAAAAAACAAAAAAAACAAAGAGGAAAAAGAGCGTGGGGCAGACCCCAGGAAGAGGCCCATTCAATCATGAGGGCAGGAAGGCTCAGCACAGCAATACCATGGAGCTCAGGAGTCAGGCTTGGGGGCAGGGAACAGGAGGCTGAGTCTGGGGCCACCACCCTCACTGAGAGGCCAGGTTGGGGGAAAGGCCTCCAGACTCTCAACCTCCTCAGATATACCTCCCCCCAGGAAGAGAGAGGGCTGTTGGGGGGTCCCCCTTTCTGGCCCCCTCTCCCCAGCCTGGCCTACCCTCCAGTGTTTCCAGACATCCCATCAGCCCAGGGGGCCAGGAGGGGCCGTCTTGGTCCAGACCCTGGTCCTGAACCAGCCCTTGGTCCTGAACCAGCCCCTCCGGCCTCCAGGACAGATGGCTGTGGGTGCTATTTTTAGAGCTCTCCTGAGACAGAGAGTCCAGGGCTCCGTCAATCACCTCTTTATGGGTTCACTCACCTGCACTCTCCGGAAATGGTTCCTTGGCAGCCAGTGCCGTGGGCCTCCACATCCCCAGAAACACCATGGCACCTACTGGGCGTGAAGGTGGAAGAGGAAACCAGGGACATGGGCCTCACCCTTGGAGGGAGGAGAAAAATCATTCTTAGGAAGCGAGGGCCTGAGGGGCAAGGCACAGCCCTGTCCTCCAAGAACCCCTGTCCCAGAGGAGAGTCCTAGGAGATCCTGAGGTGAGGGGCACAGCAGTACCACTGGGGACCCCCAGCCCGATGGGGAAGGCACTCCACTGTCCTGGGATCCCCAGTCTGAGGAGTTCGCAGAACACAGGTACAAGGAGACAGAGACAAGCCTATGTCCAGTGTGGAGGGGAGACAGCAGAAATAAAAGAGTATCACTCCTCCATGGAAAGACAAAAGACGGTGCCTACCCTAGGGTGGGGGGCTGGTGAGGACATCTGTGATCCCAAGAGTCAAGGCCTAGACGAGGACCCTGCCAGCTAACTGAAGCAAGGGTTTCAGACAGTGAGGGCTGTTTGCTCTTGTGACCCGTGGCGCTAGCCAGGGTGCTGATGAGGGCTCTCTAGAGCTCTGATCCTGGAGGAGAGAGGTGAAGGAAGCTGAGAGACGCCCGCAGGGAAGCTGACATCTCTGGAACCCCCTCATGCCCTGGGGGGCGAGGGGTCTGGGGACAGATGGGAGGAGTGGAGAAGCAGTGCAAAAGCTAGAGGGCAGAGACGGTGGTCCAGATTCAGGCTACAACCTCTGAAGAAGTCACTTCCACATCTACCTTTGGAGCCAAAGCGAATGAGCCCGAGGTGGTCCCTCAGTGTGGCCCAGGAGCCAGCCCTGCACATCCTCACAAACGCTGCCTACCCGTCACGCCCCTGCCCTCCAACTCCACTCCCCAGTTACAGGGCAAGCAGATTGGTTCATTAATCACCGCCTCCTCAGGGAAGACTTTATTAACTTGTTGATTAGCGGGGAGGATGTCTCAGCCCTCGATCAATGGGCTCAGCTTCCCCCCACCCCACCCCCACAATTATTGACGCATGACTCAGTTGCCATGAGACGCGTCTGGCGGTGGGGCTGACATCTACGAAGGGAGAAACTTCAGCAACAATCGTTATTGTAGACTTGAGATGAGCGCCTGCCTCCATCTTATGTCTGAAGGGTAGCGGAAAGCAGCGCTGGGCTCCTCATTCTCAGTGCACCTAGCAAGGCCACCCCCCTCGGGAGGCCATGGACCTGGGCCCTGGCCCACCACTTCCCTTGCCCAGTGGGCTCAAGGGCCACTTGTTGAGATAGGGTGGCACATGCCACCCATCCCAGAGGCTTAGAATTTGGTACCTTGGAATTCTAAGGGTACAGTGAGGCCCACCTACACCCCCGCCCACACACGAGGCCTGGCTTTGCTACAGCGTGCTCTGGGCGGTGCCGGTCCGCTGCCTCCCACCTTCAGGCAGAGCCTCATTCCCAGCGTCGTGCAGACAGCAGGTTGTCATTCAATCCTCATTCAACACGCACTTGTTAGGCCCTTACTGTGTGCTAGGCAGTGACCTAGGCACTAGGGCAGAGCAGTGAACAAACAGGCAAAATCCCTGCCCTCGTGAAGGTCACATTCAAGTGGCAGGAAATAGAAAATAAACAAGTAAGCATGGAGTGTGTCTGATAAGTGCTATAGGAAAAAGTCAGGGTATCAAGAATGGAGAGTTTTGGGGTGTGTGGGGGCTTATTCTACGTTGGGTGGTCAGGGAAGGGCTCAACTATAACGTGGCAGTTGAGGGAAGTGAGGAAGCAAACCATAAAGGTACTCTGGGAACAGGGCTCCAGGCAGGGGCCCCGAGGCGGGAGCATGCCGGCGGTTGGAGGAAGAGCAAGGGGCCTGCATGGATGGAGTGAAGTGAGCAGTAGCCAGAGTCAGAGGAGACAAGATTAGGGGGCAGCAGGGGACGCATCACACAGGGCCTCGTAGGCTGCTGTGAGCACTCTGGCTGTGGCCCAGAATGAGATGAGCGGAGAGAGCTACATCCAGAGTTGTATGATTGCCCACCTTATCTGACTGTTTTAGGCTGGGCGTGGTGGCTCACACCTGTAATCCTAGCACTCTGGGAGGCCAAGGTGGGCGGATTGCTCAAGGTCAGGAGTTCAAAACCAGCCTGAGCGAGACCCCATCTCTGATAAAAATAGAAAGAAATTAATTTACCAACTAAAAATATATATACAAAAAATTGGCCGGGCATGGTGGCACATGCCTGTAGTCCTAGCTACTCAGGAGGCTGAGGCAGCAGGATTGCTTGAGCCCAGAAGATTGAGGTTGCTGTGAGCTAGGCTGATGCCACGGCACTCACTCTAGCCTGGGCAACAAAGTGAGACTCTGTCTTAAAAAAAAAAAAAAAGACGGGTCAATGACCCAGACCAGCTTATGTCAAAACAAGGGCTTCTCCAGTACTTTACATATTTTCTATATAGTGTGAATGCTTTTATAGGCTGTATATATTGCTTTAATAACTTCTAATAAAGATTTTCATTTTAATAAAAATTCTAATAAAGAATTTTTAAAAATCAACAAAGATAAAATGCCAGTGTATGTTGTGACTCTTGGGATTAGATACTTTGAGGGGCCCTGGGCTGCGGCCCCCAGGAGCTCTGTGCACCCCCCCACCCCCACAGTGCTCCTGCTCTTAGGGAGGAACCTCCCGTCAGAGTCTGAGCGTCAGGGCCCAACAGTCACAGAGCCCTGTGCCGCTGGCGCAGAAACCCAAGTCCTGAAAGAGGTGCGGATTTTGGAGAAATAGTTATAACCTGTGCCAGACCGTCAGCTGCCTGGTTCACCAGGCCATTGTGGACTTGTGTCTTTGTGACTCCTGGTACTCATGTGGTGTTGGCATGTCGTGGGCTCCTAGGAAACAGTTGTTGAATCAATCAATCAACAAGTGAGCCATATTAGGTAAGATATTGGTGCAGCTGCCTTAATAGAGACCAAATAACAGTAGATTAAATACCACAGATGTTTGCTACTCGCTCATATAAGGCTCCAAGCTGGCAGATAGTGTATGGGGGAGGTGACTAGCTTTTAAAAGTGAGGTTATAAGTCCACGTGCAGTGGCGCATGCCTGTAGTCCCAGCTACTCGGGAGGCTGAGGCAGGAGGATCA